GTATAAGCACATATTTGCTGCAACAATCGCAATTCCCCATAGATGATTTTCTTTGGCTTGTCTTGCTGGGATTTCCAGGAAAGTTCCCAGAAACTGTTTCACAGAATAGAGGGATTTCTCTTTTTAAAACCCTTTTTGGTGTTACACAAATTTGAGCCCAGAAGAGTTTAATTTTTGAGAAATAACCATGAATACTACAGGCATGTGTGCCTCTATAATAACAAAATCTTCAGAATAAATTGAGTTTAAGTTGAATCTTATTTGATTTCTGTGGTTGGCTTTGGAAACATTTGGTAGTTATTTTCCATTGAAATTCGCACCCGCTTGGGGCAGCAATATGTTTAAGTGCTTCTCCTGTTATTTCTGCTCTGTAATCTTAATTTTAAAACTAGTTTTCCATTTTTTTTCCTATTTGCTCTGTGTTGTGTGTACTTATCTTTCACATGGCAATAAATAATGCTGCATTTGCTATTGGTGGTCTTTTTCCTAGTGTGCATGTGTGTTGAAGGGGTACAATATATAGCCCTGTAAAGAGCATTGTTCTTTGATTTTGGGAAAGAGAGGAGGAGGGATTCTAATTTACATTCATATCGCTGAAATTAAAATGTGGCCTCTCCATTGAAGAGTGGGGCTGTGAGTTTTCAAAATGACTTGTAAGGCTTAGTGATTTTTCAAAATGACTTGTAAGGCTTGTAAGGCATCTAAGACTTAGATGTCTTCATTTATGGGTGGCTAAACTGGGACACTTTTAAGAAACAAGTTTTTAGAGGACAAGGTTTGATGATACAGAAATTTCAACAGGACAAGGTGGCCCCAAAGAACCAGTAGAACTCCCAGCTGCTGACTGTGAGTGCAGCACAGTTCTCTTGGTCTCTGGTGCATTTGTTGGGTCAAAGTGCTTGATTCTGTATTGGACATTAAATAAAGGTGATTCATGCCTCAGTGTACTGACAGTCTGATGACAGGCATTAAAGGAGAGGAGGCACGTGAAATGAGTCAAAAGGTGGAAGTTGTTTTGTTATTTTGGGGTTGTGGGGGTTTTTTGTGTTTATTAACATAGAGTTTAATTAAAAACATTTCTACGAAAGCAGGTGCAAGCTTCCTCTGAGCACGTAGCAGACTGACAAGGTACAAGTCAGCTTGAATCCAGAAGCTGTATCACTGTGTCAGCATGACACCAGCAGGAAATATCAGCTCAGGCAAAGGAACCTGTTAACAGAGCTGCACAATTTTTGTGCCAAAACTGGGTTGCTTCTTGCCAGCCTGGGTAACTAAGGGGGAAGGATGGCTCCTGCTTCTCACACATTTGCAGATGTGCATCCATTTTTGTGAGATTCAGAGGCTTGTTCTGAGGGTCCCCAAATCAGTGGAGACATGGCGGTCATCTCTAAGGAGGTCTGTGTCAGACCTCAAGAGCTCTAACTGGCGTTTTTTGCAGCTGTTATACCTAGGAGCTGATATATGGTTTCATATGGCAAATACAAAGTAAGAAAGAGATCCTGCTTCCAAAACTTTAGCCTGAATTGAGAGGCAGCTTAGATGGAAATGATCATCCAGCCCAGCTCCTTGCCAGAGCAAGATTATATCCTGCAGGCTGTTTTCTAGCCTTTGCCAATCTGGCTATAAAAGCACCAAGCAAATAGGATCCATTACTGGGAAGAGTCTGGGAGACTGTTCCATTGTTTAAAAGACGTCATGCAAGTACATTGTCTTCTGAAATTAAGTATTTATTTTTTTTCTTATCTTAATTACATCTTATCCTTGGTTATGTTCTGAGATACCAAATTAAAATCTGACGTTCTTGAAGTCTATATAGTTCTTGGCTATTACAGTTCACCTTTCTGTCCTCAAGCTGACCAACCTGGGCTGTTGGTCACCCCACGGGAAAAGGCTAAACAGCTGCATGAACAAAAATATTCTATGTCACAGGGACCAAGCGATGGTTATAAAAGTCCCTTTGCCTTCTTCATGTACCTGGCCTGCTCTTTCCTAATAAATCAGTTCATCCATCCCATCACAGCTTTTGCTGTCCTTCAATGAATGTTTGCCAGCAGCTCTATCTATGGTAGCAAGTAGTGTGGCTGCTAAGTGTGGGCTGGATACAAAACAGGACCTGTAGTGTAAAATGGTTGATGCTGAGGGCTTAACTTCCACAATTATGCATGCTTTAAGGTTTTGGGGTAGTTCTGGGCTGGTCCTTCAAGCTGGATATATGTACTGATTAGAGATCATTGGATGCACTCCTGGAATGCACTTTCTGGTATCGTTTTTTCTGAAAGTCTTTGAGTCTGAGACTGCTGTATTGTGTGGACCAGAGAGTCCACACAGAGTCCATGAATAGAGACGATCTGGAGACTTCTCCACTTTTGAAGAAAAAGTGCACTTCTAATCTGAACCAAAATGCTAACACAGAAACAATTGGGATCTTCTTGGGAGTGTGTTGTCCAGAGCTGGCTGCAACGTTATATAGCAGCGAGATAAATTTGAGTCGGGCGTCAGGAAATGAGAAGTTCCCAGAGAAGCTGTGGATGCCCCATCCCTGGAGGTGTTCAAGGCCAGGCTGGATGGGGCTTGGAGCAACCTGGTCTAGTGGGGGTTGGAACTCAGTGATCTTTAAGGTCCCTTCCAACTGTAACTATTCTATGATTCTATGATTGTAAAATGTTTGTAATGATAAGGGCAGCAAAGCACTGTGGAAGTTGAATAAAATACATGATAAGAGTTTTTTAAGAAAAGGCTAAACAAAACAGAATTTGGGAATAAGATAGATTAATTGTTCCTGCATAGATAAATGGGAATGGATGTGGTCAGTTTATGACATTCCTTCAAGCCAAATTTCCCGTATGATTCCAAAGTGCACCACCATATCTGTTCAGGAGTGATGACCTTTGTATAAACAGCTCCAAAGGGCTTTGTTTTCTTGCTGTGTGACGGTGCAGCCCCTCCTGCTATACTTGCAATTTCTTGCATTTCTTCCACTTGATGAACGTGAGTCTCTTTTTCTTATGCATAACAGTTTCAATTTTTATTTTTCTGTCCTTCCTCCTGCTATTCACTGCATTTTTTTTTTAATCTTCCTTGACTGCTATTTTTAATTTCTCCTAGGTTAACTACATCATGGAGTTTCACTGGTGGCAATTTAATCTGCCAGATACTGAAAGTTTTCAATGAAGTTGAATCAAAAGCAGTGTCTACCAAGTAATCTACGTTGCCGGTGATAGTCTACTGTTAATCAGATTTCAAAAGACATAGCTGGTTCTCTTCAGGTCAGTTTAAATTCAGGTTCAGATGAGATATAATAGCACATGTTCTACTGAACAGATGGCATATGATTGTTTCCTGCCATTCATTCATAATTTGGTCAAGCAGAAAACTTCAAATTAATAAAATTGCAGCCATTCTCTTCCTCTATGTTGGACATTATTGTGAATTATAAAGTGTCTTGAAACAGAACTGCTTCCCACAAAACGTGTACTTCAGAGCCAAAGCCCAAACAAGTCCCATTCCTAAGGCTCAGATCACTCAAAAGGAGCCTCAATAAATTTGAGCTTTTTTTGCCATGGAGTTTAAATGGATGTTAAGGATCTTAACTCCCTAAAGTTTGCTTTAAACACCCTCCCTTTTGTATAATGATTTGTTACTTTATGCATTTTCTGCTGTAGCTTAGGAAGATCCCAGTGTCCCAAGCAGATTGACCTCTTCAGTGGATGGTATCGATGTGCTGTTTCAGCATAGAGGACCAGTCTAGTCTTGCCTCTTGGCTGCTCCTTAATGCAATCTCTGGGAAAAGGAAGAAGTAGACTCAAGTCCACCCTAGTAAAGTGTTTTAAAATCCAGGTGGCTCATTTCCCAATAATTTATCTTAACGTTGACTCTTGCTCAAAAGATAACAAAGATTTAGAGCTCCAAGGCCGTTTCATGTGTGTGCTTTTGTGCTTTATGATGACATCTTAATTAGAAAAAAATACATTTTTCTTTCTCAGATGTTTCCATTTTGCTAGAATAAATAGTATTCAGAAAGATTTTTTTGATGTCCACAATGATCTATATATCCCTTTCTTATGTTGAATTTATTAAAGTTAAAAAAGAACAATAAAGGGGAAAAGTTTGGGTACAAACATCAGTTTTGGAATAAAAACATTTTCAGCTATGAGGCTCCATTAGTTCTGCAGTTAGCAAATACTTCAATTGACACTGTTGTCAAACCAAGGACATAAAACTGAGAGTGTGATATGTTATCTGCTGCCAATTACGTAAGTTCATGATGCATAAGTTATTGCAAAAAATAAGGTCATGACTCCTAAACCAACTCCTTTTGAAGTTGCAGTTCTTCATAAAACCTCCCGCATATTTGTATATTTTAGTTGGTTAACTCTTAAGTGAGTTTATGTGAGTTCTTATGAAAATGAAGTATTATATGACATTAAAGAAAAAGCAGAACCTTGCATGGGCTACAGGAATGCCATCTTGTTGATATTATATGCTTATAGAGAGGTGAATCTGTGTAAAACATGGATTTTATTTCCTAATCAAAGGGCTTAATCAAAGTTCCTTATCAAAGACCTATTTGAAAATAAATGTTTTTGACCACCAAGCATAAACATTGAAGTTAATACAGAACATTATCTAATGGGTAGGTGAGAGGATTAGAACTCAGCCTCCCCAGTTCTCATCTTACCTTTTATATGGTCTTTTATGGTAACCTTACACTAATCACTGAACTTTTCTAATTGCCTTAATTTATCTTTCTGTGTGACTAAATATAACTAAATGTCATATTTGGTTATATGAAAATAGTATGTAAGTAATAGACTTAAGCCTTCATTTGAAAAATGCCAGCAAAGCTGGGGAGAATTTCAGAGGAACAAATCACCCTACTCAGAACTGAAACACTGAGGTCCTTCTTCATGTCTGGGGCAGAGGTTTCAGGAACTTTAAGAAGCAAGCCCTCATGATGCTAAAGATACTAAACACCTTCAGCCTAATGCAAAGGATTTGTCAGAGGATTGTGCAGGATTTTTTTTTTTTTCACTTCAGAAAAAAATAGTATGACTTTCAAATATTATCTCTTTTCAAAATTTGATGGAAGTATGATCGTTGGAGATGATTTGATAAAGCCTCCCCTAGAACAGCTAGTAGTTCTTGTTCTACCTTATTCAGGTCAAGGACTGAAAAGCAGTTGTTTTGTACTACTAAATGACTTCACCACGAGGCTTTGTGGTTTTTTTTGTTTTGTTTTTGTTTTTGTTTTTTTCCCTTAAGTTTTTGGGACCCCTCAGCTACCTCTGTCACTCTGCAGCTTACCAAGTTTGTACAAATAGTTACCTATTCACCGGCCTGGAGAAAGACCAATGCAATAGTCCAATGGGCAGTCTAAGTTTAAGTCCTTCTTCCAATTAATGTTTAATTATTTATACAAAGTGAAACAGGTCCAACAGGAGAGAATGAAGAAGCTGTTCTTCAGAATAACTGATAGTTTGGTGGCCAGAAAGCTTGCCTGGGATGCAGGATTCTGACATTCAGACATCTTGAAGTATAGAAACTTGAAATTGGCACTCCTGTGCCACCAGTCAGTTCCTTGATCATATGATGATTATCTGGGAGGGGAGACAGTTTTCTTACTCTTTGATGTATATTTCAAGTCTCATCCTAGGCATGAGAACCTTTCCCAGGTAAGAGCTTCATAAAAACTGGTAAAGAACCCGCAAAAAGTCCTGGTCTCAACAGAATATAATTTTTCAGTGAAAAAATGCATCACTCTGATGGGTGCAGGACTAGAGTTTTCACACTCATGTAGGTCCAGGGTAGTTTGGCCGTTGTGATGATCCCTCAAAGTCCTGTGTTTGCAGGAGAGGTCAACAAGCAGTGCTGAAGGGCATGAGTCTTGGGAAGCCTGTGGAATGCCAAAGCATACGCCTGTGTAAGTGTCAGACTTGTAAATCGTCTGTTACAAAAGTTTAACAGCAGGGAAATGGTCACATACAAACACTGGTTTGGCCATTAGGCTTATGAGCCTTGCTGTTTTTAAACACTTCAGCTGACATTGATATGAACCCGAGGCATAAAACCAGGAGCCTGACATGTGATCTGTTGCCAGTTGCCTTCAAACTACCATGTCTGATGAGGAAAAAAAGAGAGGAAGTGGATGGAGAACTGGGACAGGTCATCTCGACTCTGATAATTAATGTTCCTTAGAAAATAAAAGTTTTGAAACTTTCCTGGAAATGAGGTTTTATAATCTGCTACAATGGCCCACAGGGGGGATGCTGCAACCTACAGATATTGACAATTGTGGTATTACCAGGCAATTCATTTTTATGAGTAATTTCCAGAGCAATCCTCAACCGTGCAGTCACGCATACAGTGCAGCAGTGGACCACAGAAGAAAGGCTCAGCTGGAGGCCAAAGATTATACAGATTTGTTAATATTTGGGAAAAAGATCCTAACAGCAGAAAGCAAATTGAGCAACAGAGAGGGGGAGAAGGAATGGACTTGACAACAAAGCAAGCTCTGTAAGGATGGATCCAGAGCATCATGAACTCAATGGAACGATTTCCATTGATTTCTTAAGACCTTGGATAGATCTCAAGGGAACAGAGACACCCTGTCTTATACCTTTCCCCTTCCTTTCTTCATCTGCATGGAAAATACATTTTTCCTTGTTCACAACAAGCATCATTTAGCGATCAAGCATCACAATCAAAATTTTGATCATAACTGAGATGTTAGAGCCGAGAATCCCTACCTAAGCAGTCCCAGAAGTGGCATGACTTTTCCAAGGGTTGAGCAGCTTGCAAATTCTGTAACAGTACCTTCATCCTTTTATTAGACTCAGAATAATCTTATCCCATACTTAGCTGTGCAAATTCATTCTGCTTTCCACTTTAAAACACAGAGAATAATGGAGCAGTTGGATCTATAATGTTGTTTCTCTTAAATCCTTCTCCATAAACACTTTTCTTGTAAAGGTAATGACCCATTTAGTCGTCTTCTATTTATGTCTAGTCTAAGCAGTTATAGCTGTTACTTTTAAACAGCTATTAAATACTTCAGTAGTTCTTAAACCATGCCAAGGAATACTTGGAATAAAAGAACAATGAACAGAGATGACTGAAAATGAAATCGTAGAACTGAATTTGATTATATATCATTCAGAATAAAAAAATAGTTCTGTCAAAGTCCCTGCTAAGGTCTGTTCAAGAAAGCGATATACTTTGTACTAACTGAGGCTACATAGATCATGAATCATGGCCCTAAGTGATACATCTCCAAGTTCAGTTTGGTTATCTAATTTCAAAATCCTTCCTTCTATGGGAACAAAAAACTTTGCTGCCTCATGTAAGTAGCGTTTGACAAAGTCACCCTGCTGTGATAGCAACTCTTAATTCATCCTACACACTGAAGAACATAATTTATCTTAACACTAGGCTTTGAGCAAGGCTAGCTGTGGGGAAGTAGAACTACTAGGGTTTCCTTTTACTACCAAACTCAATTGAAATCTGCAGTCAGGCCAAGCCTGGTTTAAGTACTCTGCTGATTATTTTCTTTAACATGGTGTGAGAGACCAAGGCTGCTTTATTGCAATGGGTGGGTTAGTTACCAGCAAGACATGCTGAGATGAGGAGCTGGTGACAACACACAGAAAGAGAAATCCACATTACTCCCCATCACTTTGGAGATACAATAATAAAATTCCTTATAGAGAAAACCGGAACATTTTCACTGGAGAATACTCTGCAGAGGGTCCTACTGCTTAGTGGATCGCAGTCACCAGGAGGTCAGGAGTGACGCTTCCAGGTTCCTAAGGAGAAGCCCCTCACTCTTCCTCCTCACACTCCCCACGATGTGAGTGCCTGCTCCTTCATCCTCCTGTCCACTGGGATGCCACCCAATTCCATGGCCTGAGGGTTTACTCATTCCCTTCATTAGCATTGAAGGTGCTGGCTTTGGCAGTCCACTCTGTGTTGCTTCCTCCAGGACCCTGTAAGGTAGCATCAGTGGAGACAGCTGTCCTTCACCTGGCCTGAACATGAACACACACACACACACACAAAAACAGCAGGCATTGGCATGTCCTTCTCTAAGGTAATTCTGACCTAAGGGACACAGCACCAGCACTGTTTCAAGCTTTGCAACAGAGCAGAAAAAAAATGCAGTAGAATTCACTCAAAAGAACTGAAATGAATAAAAAGGCAGTTCTCTGCTATTACAGCACTGGACACTGAGCATCAATTCCAGTCTAAAGTCTGTCAGATGCTGAAGCATAGATAATGGATTTGGAGTTTTCAGTTTAACTTCTGACCCAGACCTCCCTGAGGACAGTGAGGATCCCTCTGGGTTTGATAAGCCACAGCAGAGGCTCTTTCCTCAAGGACAGGTAAACACAGAGTCATTAACAGGTTGTAAAGGAGAACTGAGCTTACCTAAGGACTTGGTTCTCAGATTCATCCTGCACTATCAGCTTGAACACATCTCTGAAGATCCCATGGGAGTCCTGCAGTTTTCCCTCTTTGGCTTGCTCTCAGCACTGGTTTTAGCAAGTTCCCTGGTCACAGAGAGGTGTGACAGAAAGAGAGGTGCTTGAAAATCTGGTTCTGTTCATTCTGTGTCACAGCAGATCTAGTTTGTTTACCAAGAAGGCCCAGTATTTTGATCTGAGGAATGAACGGGACTCATACCTCCTAACTTTATTTGTAGAAGGTATTTTAAAAACTTGGTGTTGTTGCCACAAATAATGTCAAGATGGAAAGTCCCGATTTGCAAATCAGGATACAAAGGTGAACATGAGTTTGTTGGGCAGAGCCAATCTGTGCTGTGCAACAACAAACCCACTGGAACCCTAGGCTTGGTTATATGCAGAAGTGATGATGATGGTAAACATGATGTAGTCCTACCTCCATGACAAAATTAATAGATTTTTCTTTGGATCTGGTCCAAACGCTACTGGAGTCCCCAGAAAAAAAAAATTAAAATAAAAAAGGAGATGTTTTTCTGTGCCTGCACACTGAAGGGGATGAATATCGGTTCTGCTTCCAAACACAAGAATCTCAGGATGTATCCAGACACATCCAGCACATGATTACACAGCTCATGTGTACACTTCTCCTTTTTCCACTCTCACCAAAGGGTTCATCAAAGCTGTGGAGATGTTTGATATTCCTGGTGAGACGAGGTCACTGCTCCTCTCTTGGAGCTGAACCATGTGAAGTGGAAGCTGAAAGGGGACAGAGGGCATGGGAGAGAATAGGTACTATTTTTAGCACAGGGACATTCTTCAGTAGCCCTGGCATCACTGGAAATCTGCAAGAAGAAGCTGGGGACATGATTCATGAAATAATATACAGAAGAGATATGGAGACCTACAAATAGCAGGCTCCCCTAGAGTTTGTCATTGACACCTGTTTGCATTTGGATTTTATCATACTTGATTTTATCATACTAATATTTCAGACTTACTATTATTTCCCTTGGCCTTTTAGGGGGTAGAAGAGATGGTGACTTCCCTTGTGTGTGTTTGCCCTTTACGCCTGTTTCCAGTGACCATCTGACCGCCTTCGTGGTGGGTCTGTTCCTGTCAGAGCTCTATTGATGACATACTGCTCTTTGTGGGAATCTGGTGTAACGGGGCACCTTCACAAGCCACCGTGGGCTCCAGATGTCTGTTTTTATCAACCTGAGGAATTGTTGCTCAGAAAAAGAGACCCCTGCTTCCCGGGCTGTGTGTGGCTGACCTCGGAAAGTCCAAACTCCTTTGACCCCAGCGCAGCTTAGATGATGTGACAGCCGAGTCAGCCCCTTTAATCCCAGTCTTTGTGAGGCTCATGTGATAATCACGCACTTGCTCTGTCAGAGGAGCCGGCAACCAGGGATTCTGTCTGTGCTTGCTCCCTGCAGCAGACCTCTTTCTTGCCTTCTCTCTTCCACCAGATTCCTTTCATTTTGTTGGTTCTATTCAGGAACAAAGAGGACTTTGTTGAATTGCCTTTGTGGTTTATTTTCCTGAGCCTTGGAAGATAGCAGACTTTTGCCACTGTTTTATCCAACTCTTTATCACATGCACAATGCCCTGAATGCCTGAAGGAGGCTAGTGTGTGTTAGCCTAACTCTCTGCTTTTATTTTTTTCAGGTTGGAAGCCAGGGCTGACTTCTGGATGCCAAGTTAGGAATAATTGCTGGAGTAAAAACTCAGGGAGGAGTCTGTCCACACAGCTGCCATAAAGGCTCCAGTCAGAGGAGGTACAGCCATCAGTAGATTTCATCTTGTTTTTCACGTTCTCTGGTCTTACCAGGTCCCAGTGTCTACACAGACGTGTTTATTTACAGATGTAGAACACATCCTCACCAAGCGATTTTTGGGTACATGTTCAAAAGGGGGTAAAAATGCATTGAGTGGCCACTAGAGCTGCTAATGCTAAGCAGCTTTTATCTGAGCCTGTAAAAGTGTTTTAACATGATAAATTGCTACAGTCTTCACAGATGTGGAAAGGAAGTTGCAGAAGAGCTAGATGAGGGACTCTGGTTTATAGACTTTACCATAAAGGCTTCTCCAAATCTTAGGACAAGTCAGTAGTGTGGAGAAGACTACAAAGAGCATGTAACTAATCCTTTGCCCTAACCACTGCCCCGCTGCGGGACCTGCCACCCTACCTATTCCCAGCACAAAGCTCCCAACATGTTTCCTTTATTTAAGGCATCAAAACATCTTTTTAAAGGATGGAAAATGTGGCCGTTACTGAAGGCTGCCCTTGAGTGATAGCTTTATCTGTTTTGTCTATTGCCAGAAGGACACAGTGTGGTCCTGGAGAGTCTCTGGACAAGGTAATAACAGAGAGTTGCTTCATCAAAGCTCTTCCCATGAGGGACGAGATCCATAATCTTTGTTTTTAGTGGAA